ACAGAGTTGCTTACCTGAGTCACTATCCTCGGGGCGTCAAAAACCCATCGCTCATTGATATGCTTTCATATTAACCTTGTGTGTCAGCAGGGTTGAGATACCAGCGCTATCAGCGAGGCTTCTTACACGAACTTTGATCGGTTTGCCAAACAGGCTTAGAAGCCTAGCCTCGAGCCTTTCCTTTCTGATATACCCTGTTATGTCGGGGCTGATGGTGTTCTGAACGGACCCGCTCATGGTCAAGGTTGGCTAGTATGGCTTAGATGGAAAAGGGAAGAGGCAAGTTGATCTGGGCACGGGGCGAAGGGTGGGCTCTCAGCTCTCTCCATGCGGTTATAGGCAAAAAGAAACAAATCCTGGCAGTACGAAGAGGCGCAGAGCCTCTGAAACTCGTGAGGCTGTGAGGACGAGATCAGTGCGCTGGGTGATACTCCTCTCGATTCCGACGCGTGCGCTTGTGTATTCCCCAACTTACGCAGAAGGTGTGACGGGCTCCAGAATCACAGCCCGACAGGCCGGTTACGCCAGTGAGGCTAGCAATGGCTTGAAGGATCGAGTCATCTTCCCCCTGCTTGGAGTACGGCCACGTCAAAGGTGGGCGGGGAATGGAGGATCGCTGCATGAGAAGCGGGGGATGTCAATCCATGCCCTATGGATTTTAGTACCATTCGGAAATCCCCGGAAATTCTTCTCTTCTCGTTACATAACATCGAATCTGGGGCATCTGCGTAGTGGATACCCTTCTGGCGAGGTATTCAACGGGTTGGAATTTGAATCCATTGCCAGATAGATGATCCCTAACGGGTAGAAGAGTGGTCTCGTCGGCAGTTTTGGTGCACAGCCCCTATGCAGGTATCCAGTAGTCCAAGAACTTAAACAGGAAAAGGAAAGAGAGCAAACAAATTAATCAAAGAGAAAAAGCAAAACCAGTGGGTGGCAGTCCGTTCGGCGCTAAATCTCGTTCAAGTCTGTCCTCTCTTACCATCCCATTGCCGAAGCTTCCAACAGCCACCACAAGACAGAGTACTCAACTCGACTTGATTCTTCTACTTTTTCACAATCTTCAACCATACATACTGAGTACAACGACTGCAGCGCGGTTTGTGACATATGCACGGTAATTTGAAAAGTGATTTCAGTACCCCAGGAGTGCCAAGGCAAGGCTGTACATGATGATCGAATACGAGTCTCTAAAACTTTCGGAAGACTGCCCAGCATCTGGATGAAATAATCCACAAAACGAGCCTCATTTCCCGTCATGCAAGCTCCCATTCTATCTGACAGGGTGGGGAATTCTTTCCTTGTCTCTTTTCTCTGGTGAAATTTGGCTTATTGGCCAGATCCCCTGCTTCCTTACCTCCTCACCTTCTCCGTATTCTGTGCCATTAAAGTATTATTTTGTAAAGCTACTTCTCCTTCCAAGTGGCATAAAGAACCTGCAGCTCAAATAAGCCTTGGGTGCTCCACTTGACCCTTTGTTAGCCTTAAGGTGTGGCTAAAAACCATCCTATCTTCCGAGCCCCTTACCTCGCGCATGCTGAAAGGTTAAGGTTGGAGGCATTCATGTAAGGGACAACATGTGGGCAAACAACACAGCCAGGCGGTAAGCATTCTTTCCTTTATTTTCACTTTGCGATTAGTCCTTCATCCAATGGTGTTGTTGAACCTCCATCACTCCTGCTTACGGTCGGGCATCATGCTCATCTTACGCTGAATCCTTCAGGCCTCGAAACCCGCTGGTACTGAGAACACCAGACGAACTGGAAGAAGACGTTCGCAAATTCTATGACCGGAACCACCTGCAAGACGTGATCGACGTGGAATTGCTTATCAAAGGGGCACGCATAGCACAGGAGCCGGATAACCTATACACCCTCCAATTAACAACGGCAGAGTTCAAGGCGATCAAGGATGAAAAAGAGTCAGGGTTTTGGCAGCAAAGTAAAGACCTCAAGGTGACCATTCTAACTACAGCATGTGCGGCAATCACCCAGTAGGTACGCCCGGAAAGGATCAAATCATCTCGAGGCTCCTGTTGACTAATTCCGATAGAGGCTGGCAGCAGTCGACGATCAATGCGAGTTCAGGAGGTTGGAAGCATGATTTGCACCCCCAGGGTGAAGACTGGACGCACCACCATCTATTATTGGGTGGCTTTATTGATGCTGCGCCTTGGTTATCGGGTAGTATGATGTGAGTTGCCCAACAGACGTAAGAAGACACAGAGGAACTAAAGGGTTTGGCAGTGGAACATGGCTAAGTGATCCTCTCCAAGAGGGTAATTATGGGAGGCGGCCAGCACTGTTCATCTCAGCCGTGTTTTGTGCTGCTTGTGCACTCGGTAGAAATCGTCGAAACACTGCTCATTGGACTCATTTCTAACTTCGAAACAAATAGGTACCGCTCGCTGTATGACATGGCAGCAGCTTCTTGCTTGTCGAGTGATACTAGGTATTGGGGTAAGCTATTTATTCTATCTACGGTTGACAAAGGCTCACTAAATATCAATAACAAGATCGGTGCAAAGGCGTCAATCGCCCCAGTCTTTGCCGCAGAGGCGGCGGTTGACCATCTACGAGGACGGTTATTGATGATGTGGCAATTATTCGATACTTTGTACGTGTTTATGGAGTTAACTCTTGATTCTTGCTGAAATGAAACTAACATACCATCGATACAGTGGTGTATTTGTTGGCTTCGCGTGCGACTGGATTGTGGATCGGCAATGGCGAGTGCTCTTGGGGACATCGTCCATTCCTGCTCTTATCCTCCTGTTCCTCGTCTTTCTGTGCCCCGAATCCCCTCGGTTTCTTATTCGTAAAGGCGATTATACCGGTGCATTCGTGAGCCTCCGGCAGCTACGAGGCACCGACATCCAGGCAGCGAGAGATCTTTATTATATCCATAGTCAGCTACAAGTCGAAACGGAAATGTTTGAGGGAGAAAGGCCGCAGAACTGGTATAGTAAAGAGATATACCAGGAGAAGGTGCGAGAAACCAATTTTCTGTGGCGGCTTGGGAAGCTTTTCAGCCATCCACGCAACCAAAGAGCATGTTTGGCTGCTTTCTTGGTCATGGCGTCACAACAACTATGTGGTGTGAGTCGCTCCTCTCTTGCTGTGCTTGTTGAAGTTGGCAACATCATTTGTCTCATTATCGCGTTAGATCAATGTTCTTTCGTTTTACTCTTCTCGACTATTCAAAGGTGCAACCACGCACGACAAGAATCCCGACATGAGCGATTCCCGGCAACCTGCGAACATAACTTGGCTTAACTTTGGTAAGTGGCAATTCGTATCTACTCCATGTGTATAAACGACATTTGTAACAGAGGTTAGGATTCGGCCTGGCGAACTTCCTCTTCACCATTCCTGCGTATCGATACATTGATTGGCGTGGGCGTCGGCTTCTTCTGCTCATCTCACTAGCGGGAATGTTCCTCAGTCTACTTGCCATTGGATTTTTCTTCCGAATCGGTGACGACGAGGCCAGACTGGCTCTGGTATCGACTTTTGCCATCGGCTTCTTCACGTTCTTTTATGGGATCGGTGCGGGACCAGTGCCGTTCACCTTCAGCGCCGAAGTCTTCCCACTTGCGTTTCGTGGTGAGTGTTGGCTCTTTCTTCCTTTCTTACGCCAATTGTCTCCTTTACAAGACCTATATTTGGATAGCTCAAGACAATGGGGTTTCTACTAACTCTAAAATTTAGAGGTTGGCATGAGCTTCAGCGTTATGGTCAATTTCCTGGGTCTCGGGCTTCTGGTACTCTTTGTACCCGAATTGACCGATGCGCTAGGACAATTTGGAGAATCTAAATTGTGTTTTATATTCACGTGGGATTTCCCTATTCTCCCAATCGTATATTCCATGAGATTCTAACCGTGCGCCAGGGGACTCAATGCGCTGGCGTTTTTTCTCGTCTTTCTGTTCGTAAGTACTCTGCCATCTCCAGACCACCTAGCAACAGCTAACTCTCAGCGTAGGTTCCCAGTGGGACTGCAAAAGTGGGCCTGGAAGAAATGAACCAAATATGTACGCTTTTCACCTTTACAGCTCTGCCCTACCTCGATACATGCTGACTGAGGCCACAGTTAACACAAAAATGTCCGTTCACGTCAAGGAGCATGTCGTTAGCCTTGGGAATCTGTGTGGCCGACGAAGAATCGAGGATGAGCCACATCATCTTCATCAATTTGATGATTATGCCTAGAGCATAGCATGAGAACCCGCGTTCCACTGATTACATAGAATGTCTGTAGAGTACCTCTCGTCTGGGTTCATAGATTTGCTAGGCGACGTAGGCCTACCAAATTAGGATTCTATGTACGTAACTTAATGAGTCGGCTGGTTTTTCTCTCTTCGGTGAAGGCACCGAAATGCGTGTGTGGTAAATTCCGCAGTAACTTAACAGTCACAACTCCCAGTAACTCGCCCCTATGCACTGGGCTGTACAGCCACATTATACAGAAATTAGGGGTCATCAGAGAAGATCCTATTCGCCGCCTCGTCCTAGTCCTGACTAATTAGCTCCAGTACCTCAGTACCGGTCCAATACACCCATCGAGTCGAGGTGTTCGAGTGAGCATTGATCCCCACGGGGGCAGCCCCATTCGTTCTTGGCCGAGGCTGAGAGTTTTAAGGACTCGAGACCATTGGGACACGAAGGAAGCACAAGTATTAAGAGCAAACAAGCCACACGTGAATTAAAGGGCAACTAATCCATGACGTTGCCTAATCACCGTTTCTTCCAATCTCACCTCCGTTACTCATCTTTCCTTCATGCAGGCACCGGTAGCCCTTCTGCCAACGCATATGTACTGCACATACTCACATTGTACGCATTCACTTCATGTCTACTACTGGCTCTTTAGATTAATTTATTGTTAATGTACACTGGTAGTTTTAGACGCTCGCAGCGACTCATTTGGACTGAAGCCCAGCCGTCCGTTTGAGCGTCGCTCGCGACCTCGACGCTGCGGCCCGCAATCCCACGCTCAACATGAGTCGTCATGATGTATTTCGCACTATTTTCAATGTTACAATGTCCGATGAAGAGATCGATGCCAATCTGTCGGCAAATGGCTATAGTTTAAACGGCTTTCACCGCACCCTCAACTCGTACTCTGCCGATGACTCCTCACATCGATCCAGCTCTGAGGCGGACAGACAATTTACCAGAAGACTTACACCAGCAGAGCATGCAACACCTAGAACAATTCCTAACCAACCTCACAGTCCAGAAATGGAGATGTATGGGATATCTCCGCATCACACTTACTTTCCAGATGATCACCACGTTTACAATGTCCATGCCAGGTCAGTATACAAAGTGACCGTTTGGACTTCATGCCCGTCTCATTTGCACTGACTGATTCATTTTATAGTACAAGATACAGAGCACCACATCTCATAGGTGACAGCCATCCATATTCCCCTGATTCTCTATTCGTCGAAGGCCCTACGGAACGGCGGCAATCTCTCCAACGGGAGTCGATGCTTCGAGAGCTCTCCCGTGCGATCCAAACTGCAACACACCGAAGAGACAGGCCATCGGAAAAGGTCGTAACTCGGCATAGTTTGGCAGTTATTTGGAGCGAGGCTCGCCTGGAGAAATTCATAGACCTCGTACGGCCTGGGTTCGATTACGGCTGGATAGATGAGATTCGGGAGGACTGGCTGCAGACGCTATCTATACTCGTGGATATCGGCTGGCAGGATTGGGGGAGGTTTGGAGACATATTCCTCAGACACCGCGACAAGAATGGCAAACTGGACCGTTCAGATCGAATGATCCCAAAGTATACCCTGGCGATTCTGGAAGATGATTCATTCCTGGGGTCCCCGTGGGCTGAAAAGTTTCAAGCCAGCCAATATACTTTCTGTCCGATTGACATCGAAGAGGGCAAGAGTCTGATGTTTTCGAAGGAATGGAAACTTCCTTTTATCAACGAGACATCGGCCAGTATTGGGACCGGTGCATATGGCAGGGTCACCAAGGAGATCATCGGAAGTGGACATTTTCGATCCCGATCCGAACATCATCTGCCAGGAGCGCCTTACAGCGTAAGTCCTATTAGTTCCATTGATATCTTATTACCAAGCTTGAGAAGCTGACCAAGCCGGCTGGTTGTAGAAAGATATTGCGGTCGCTTTGAAACAGTTCGAAGCCAGAGGTGACTTCCGCTCGGAAACCAACAACCTCGACGTACTTCGCTCCAGCCTCTCTAAGCACGATCGCATTGTTCCATTCCTAGCTACCGTGACTATTGGCAATTCGTTCAATATTCTTTCCCCGTTGGCGGAAATGGATCTAGATGTCTTTCTCCGCGAAGGGCATCAAAGATGCCCAGACTTCACGGTACGTGACCTGATGCAAGAGGCCGCGCATCTCGCTGGGGCGCTAGCCTTCCTCCATCAAGGCTTGGACAGCAATCCACCTGGTCTTACCTGTTGTCACATGGACCTCAAGCCAGGCAACATACTTGTGTTTCAGGGAGACTCCTTGGACTATCCCAAAGTGGGAAAGTGGAAGATCTCTGATTTTGGAATCTCGATCATGTCCCGACCCGAGAGAACTGGCACCACTGTTACGGAATTTGTGGATTCATTCACCCATCGAGAGCTGTCGCGGCCGCCTCCTGGTCCATATCAATCACCGGATGGCGCAGGACTTGGCCTTAAGAGCGACATATGGTCCTTAGGGTGTATTTTAACTCGGGTCCTTGCGCTCGGGTTAGGGGGAACAGGTGGAATGATGCAACTTGACCACCTGAGGAGTACCAGCGATGATGGAGAATCTCCTTACGAGAATGACTATTTTTACCGTGGCTCGCCTCCTGTGGTAAATCCCCACGTCCGGACATGGCTATCTGGGCTGGTCGGCGGTGGTTATAATTACAACCCTGAATTTCTGGAAAAATGTCAGTCTCTGATTGTTTCTATGCTCTCTATCAATCATGATGATAGACCGAGTGCTAGGGATGTTCAAGAGCAACTGCACTACTTGGTTGATATTGCTCGACCGATCGTTCCTCGTCCACCCAGTACTAACACCAGTGTCGGTGGGTCGGCGTCAATCGGCAGTGGGTCAGACAACATAGGGATCAGTAACAGAGAAAGCCGCCTGAGAGAGGAACGACTAATTTGGCATGCGATTAGCCTGTTAGATGGGGACGCCAATATTGAGGAGCGGATTTGGCATGACGATGACAGACTACTTATACATGTTGTTCGGTTCGGTCTCGCATTCAAGCTTGAGAAGCTCTTGGCTCGAGAACCAGGCCTCGACGTTGAGACCCCAGACTCCAATGGAGACACCCCTCTCAAAATAGCCGCATCTGCAAAGGAGCATCACGCGTATGTTGTCGAGGTCCTTCTCAACGCCGGTGCGAACATTGATGCCCCATCACGAAGGGGCGTCACTCCACTCATGGCAGCATGCAGGCACGGCAATGTGTCAGCCGTCCGACTTCTTCTCGACCGTGGAGCGGACTGCTCACGCCCTTCTCGGGATGGCTATACATGCTTGCACTACGCCATGTTTAGTGAAGATGGGGCGAAGATCATTCAGCTCCTCAAGGGTAGAGTTTCATTTAATATCCGCCGGTCCCATAACGATGAGACTCCTCTGATCACCCTCATCAAGCGGTACGATGGCGCGGCATCTTGGTGGGAAAAGTTCGGGAAACTTTTACAAGGGTTCGCGGACATCAATATGGCCGATACAAACCGTTATACACCTCTATCACTTGCTGTAGAGGAGGGTCGTTCGCAATTGGCAGCCGTACTCCTCAGGGAGGGAGCAGAGTATGGCGAACGCCCGAAACCTCGCCACCTACCTCTGATATGGCCGCAGTCCTCAAAAATGCGCAGCCACAAGGCCGTCGAGAGAGTGAAGGCAGGCCTGGATCATCGACCACTCGTTTTAGTCTTATTCGCCGCTTCTCCACGTTTAAATTTTGAACTGAGATACTCATGTGCTCGCTATCTCGGTCTTCTTTCCTATCTCGTGCTGTTCATTTCTGCATTCTCCATTTTCCTGGATTCACTTTCATTAGTTCCTTTTTTTGTTAATTACCGAGATTCCCGTCTTGTTCCTGTTTCTGTGTATGTGTCTCTATCTCTGTCTCTAGTTCACCCTATCTGTTTCTTTCTTTCCATCTTCTTGTCTCTATTTCCCTTTTTCTACCTCTCTGTTTTCGTTTTTTCTTTTTTTTCTTTCTTTCTCTTCGTATTGGTAAGATCGTTAGATTTCATCGTGAGGAAAAGCGGGTTTGTATCATGGAGTAGGGTGTATCAGGGTATACCAGGTCTGATCTAGTGAGAGGAATATATAATGTTACATGATGGCTATGATGTCATAGGTTTGGGATTGTGAATATCGACTGCAATCAGGAATTTCGATCAAGTTCCCTACACTAGTAGAGACAAAATTAGTTACAGTACTTGATATTCTCCCCAAGCAATTGAACTATTTCCATATCTTAATACTCTTCATCATACTGCGAACTGCAACTAGGGTTCCATCCGATCATGAGTCCCCCATCAAACATGATTGGCCAATGGCCCGTAGCACACGAAACAAACCAAGCAAACCACCGCAACATCCGCTCACGGAAAGATATACCCAAAGCGACGGGTCAGGTGTCAGACCATCAGCAGCACGCAAACAAAGCAGCGCACAAATTACAATTACTCCCATGATCACCATCACCGT